AGATCTTAGCACTTAGCTTATCTGCATGAGCCAATTCCTTATAATGCATCTCTCTCTTTATTCGATTGGTTCTGTTTCTTTGGTGAACCCTGACAGATATAGTATGTCTCAAGTTTATTTTATTCTTTTAAAAATAATTTTATTGAAATATGATACAATAATACATATTGGTCTTTGTTTAAAAGCCTAGAATTCCAGCCCTAACTAGTTTGGTTCAGTGGATTAAGCGTCAACCTGTGGATTAAAGGGTCCCAGATTTGATTCGGTCAAGGGCATGTAGCTTGGTTGCGGGCTCATCCCCAGTGGGGTGTGTGCAGGAAGCTGCTGGATTGATGTTTCTAACTCTATCCCTCTCCCTTCCTCTCCATAAAAAAAAATAATAATAATAATAATAACTATATATATATATATGTATGTATATATATATATATATATATATATATATATATTTTTTTTTTACAGACAGGAAGGGATAGTTAGAAACATCGATTATCTGCCTTCTGCACAACCCCTACTAGGGATTGCCCACAACCCAGGTACATGCCCTTGATCGGAATCAAACCTGGGGCCCTTTAGTCCACAGGCTGATACTCTATCCACTGAGCCAAACTTTCGGTTTTGGCTAAAATATGTATATTTCTTAAAAGCCTAGAATTCCTGAGTGATAGAAGTGACAGGAACATCTTTTGTTATTTATAACTTTTGTTATTTATAACTATCTCCTTTTAACCACATCTCTTTTAGGTGATTCTTGGGGGGCCCCAAGAGAGCTTCAGGATGGGGGCTGGTTGTCAGAGGAACCACTTGTGATTAGAGGGTTGAGACTTTCAGCCCCACCCACAGACCTTTAAAGAGAGGAGTGGCTGGAGATCGAATTCAATCACCAATGGCCAATGATTAATCAATCATGCCTACCTAATGGAATCTCCACAAAACTCGTAGATTGGTGGGGTTTGGAAAGCATCTGAGTTGATGGACACATTCATGTGATGTATTAATCATTGCTTCTGGGGAAATTAAGATCACAAAATAGTTTAGTTCATGGCATTTGTTTGCTCAAACATATCCACAGAGTGATTATAATAGATCCAGCAGCGTAGTAGATGCTGGAAATACAATGGTGAACAAGAGATCTAATCTAATGCTAAAATTCAGAGTAATAGGCAATTCGTGAATAGTGTAGCAAGCAACCTAAGAGTAAATATAGGTGCTATTAGTTGTGCAGGGAGGGTAGGTTTAGAATCCCTGAATTATCTCTTGTAAAAATCATATTGCTAGACATTAAGAGAGAGTGAGTGACCGAGGACGAGGTAGACAAAAGCTTCCCTAGTGTAGACTTTGTGCCCAATCCCAGACTTCAGTTTGGGATTGAGGTAAACCCAAGCGGCATGGCCCAGTCATCCCTTCCTCTGGGCCACACTCACCGGTCTTCCTTACAGCCTTCGAGTGGAGGAAGCCTCATGTCAGTTTTATTGCACGAATCTAGTGATGCTTAACAAAAGCTCAAGCTTACACAGAGGAACCACTCTCTGTCTCCTTCCCTCTCCCAAATCCCCCCAAAGAGAACACATTCTGCCTGCAAAACCAGAACTTTATCCCTCGTCACACAAACACTCTGTGGCCTTAGAACCTTGACCTTGTCACCACCATAACCTTCCTTAAAGGGGAAACCTGAACTTCGTAAAGGTTAGAATGTGAAACTAATATGAATTCCTCTCTCTTTTTTTTCTTCTTGCCACAGCCCTACGTCTTCTGCTTAAAGGACTTGAGAACAATGTGTATGTCCAGTGGGAAAACTGTCCTGAGGCTTTCTTATTTAAAAGTCACTGCTTTGAGGCTGCTCTGCCAAATAGGTCCTGGCTTTTGGTAAGTCATTTCTTTGCCAGTATCCTCCCATCAGTGGGAGACTTGGGTTCTGAATTCATCGATATCTGAGCCACTGGTGCTCCAGAGTTCCAAACAGTCTTTGCACAAAGTTTTAATAGGATTACACATAGTTAAACTCCATCTAGTTTTCACCACCTTATGTCAAATGAGCATCCTGGTGATAAGACCTGATGCTATCTAGAATGGACATGGAGCATCCTGAATTTTTCCCGTGTTAACACCTAACATACATTTTACTTGTTTATCTCTTCAACTAGACTCTACACTCCTTGAGGACACAAAGAGTCTTATTTTACCCTTCTATCTCCAGGGCCTTGTAGCATTGGTTGACTAAATAAAGGTCTCTATCAGATAAGGCTCTTTCAGTTGCTAATGTCAGAAAACCAAATGAACTCAAATTAGCTTAAGCAAAATCGCAAACCAAACCAAACCACAGACAAAACCTCAGCACCCTTACTTTGTATAACTGCAAAGTCCAAGGATCAAATAATATTATAGGAGCTGACTCTTCCTCCTTATTCCCATTTTTTTTTTTGCTCTCCTCTCTGCTGTGTTTGACTTCACTCTCAGGCAAATGAGATGGAGGTACCTGGTACGGCACATATAATTTTTAGTTCTGACTGGGCCCAATAGTCTTGGCTTCGTTCACATGCCTACCTCTAAACTAGTTACATAAGAGAGAGGAATGTGCTGCTCTGCTTTCCAGGGTTCAGGCCACACATATTCATCCTTTGAACTGGGATGACAGGGGAGCTGGGGTGGGGAGGTCAGCTCCATAGAAGTATGGTGAATTGAGGCTAGTGTGTATGTGTATGCACACACGCCCAAGTGTACATATGTGCATGTGTGCGCAGATTAGTGTGGGAAGCATGAATGCTGGTCAGCCAAAGCAATTCCACTCTCACTTCCTTTGTTGAACTCCATACATTTCCCTGAAATTGGACCCCTGTGGAACATGGATATCTGCCCCAGACTGGTCTTGCCCGTGACTGCCAGCACTTCCCCAGAGGTGGGAGCCACCATTCTCGCTTGGAGTAGTCCTCAAACTCTGTCTATCCTGCTTACAGCTTGGTCCTCTTTCTGCTCTAAATGTTCCCAGCAGGCCACACAGTGCATGCAATGTCCTCCCAGACACTTTGGCAGCTAGTGAGTCATGTACACAAAGAGCTATTCACAACAGAATTTGGTCAGTTCTCTATGAGAGTGGTGAAAAGATGTTTGCGGAGCAGAGATAAAGGCATACAACATCTGGCTGGGCTTGAGAGCAGACAACCAATTCAGGGACTATCAAGCACCCAGGACAAGCTTCCGTGTAATGATGAATAATGATAGCAGTAGTGATAATAACAACAGTTGCTAATACATAGAGTACTTTCCGTATGTCCTTTTCTAAGAACCTCATACAAAATAACTTGAACGAATCCTCACTCTACTCTTTCAAGTAGGTACAATTATTTCTCCCATTTTAGAGTCGAAATTAAGTAAGTTACCCAAGGTCACAAAGGGAAGGAAGCTGCAGAATAAGATTGGGTTTCTAATACAGAGGATCTGAAAGGCCATGATACAGTGTGAGCCTTGACTTTCGGTTTTATAAGCAGCCGTTTCATCTTTGCCAATGGACTCAAACTTCCTGAGGGTAGGACTGAGCCTAATCCAGCTTTGTATTCCCTACACTTAGGTAGAACCTACATGTATGTCCTCTTTGAGGAAACTGTCTTTGCTGGAGTGAGCACAAAATTCATAAATGAAATCTCCTGCACTGTTAGAGCACAGGACAGGAAGTTCTGGATCTGACTAATGGAGATTTTTACCTCTGACTCAGTGTGTGAGTCCAGGCAAGTAACTTAACGGCCGAATACTACAAATTTGCCAACTGTAAAAGAGGAAAATAAGTATTCCACGTACTTCACAAGGACACAGGGGAGAATGATAATAAATAAATACATGGGGTAAATTCTTGCAATATTTAAGAGGAAAGGTACAAGAAACCAAGATATGGTTCTTATTTTCACTGTAACGTCACTAATCAGCAGATGTGCACCAGGAGGCAAACAATCTAGACACATGGGATTGCAACAGAATAATAAAGCATGCTTTCTGCTACTGTTTGATAATCAGATTTAATGGGCAAGATCAGTTAGAGTGATATGCAGAAATTGCTTAATAGAATAGGAAATTGGTAGAGCTCGCACCGTCCAGCATATATAATGGAAAATGAGATCCAAAATGGGGGGGGGGGGGGGGGGGGGAAGTAACAGACTGAGGAAGAGTACTCTCCAGGCAGAAACACTTGTCCTCCAAGCAAAGGCCTGGCCTCTGGGCTTGAACGCCAGTGGCAGAGATTACGATCTGTGTGACCTGGGGCCAGTCGCTTAGCCTCTCTGAACCCGTTTCCTGCTCGCCAAAACTGCGATCACAACTTACTTCAGAGAGCTATTGTGAATTCTAAACACTGTCCAGGGCCAGGCGGAGCACCGCACGTCAGCTATTATCACTGTTATTATACTTCTGCGGGAGCAAGGTCTTTTCTGTCCCTTTCTTTGTTAGACCATTCTTTGTGCAGTCAGACCCCGTTCACACGGTGCAAAGAGAAAAAAAAAAGTGCTTTTACTAGGTCGGAGATGGGCGCTGCTGGCACTCGAACCGAACCGAGCCACCCAGGGCAGCAAAGTCCATCTCCCATTTCCTTCCCTTCCTTTTTGGGAAGGGCCCCCTCGCTTGCCTCACCCCCTCCCGCTAGGTCGCTGGCCCCATCCTGGTTCCTCTCTCTCTGTGTCCTATAGGTCGTGCGGGCCACAGCAGCGGGGGGCCGGGGTTGGCTCCTGGGTCCCCCCCCCCCCCACGCCGCCCCATTCTTCCTCCTCTGGGTTCCCCCGCCGCCGGCACTCCCGCGGGAATTGACGCGCTTTGGGTGGGAGTGGGTCGGGGGAGCGGTTTCTCGCTGCGCCGCTCTCAGGAGCATTACGGTAGGGCTCGTTCCCGGCGCGGCCGCCAGCCCCAGCCTCCCGAGCCCGGCGCCGGCACTGGCCGAGGCCGCGAGCGAGGGAGCGCGAGCAGGGAGGCACGCGCCCGCCCTCCGCGCCCGGACCGCCGCCGCCGCCGCCGCCGCAGCCATGGCCGAGCGCCGCGCCTTCGCCCAGAAGATCAGCAGGTAAAGCCCGGGCGGCGTGGGCCGCAGTCGCCGTGGCCGGAGGGAGAGCGGGGGAATCCTCCCGCGCCGGGCCTCGGGGGTGGGTGGGTGGGTGTGGCGGCGCGGGCGCCCGGACCCCGCGGCCTGCCCTGCGGCTGCGGCCTCGCGACGCCCTCGGACCCCGGCGCCCGCAGCCTCGCCGACTCCAGGGCCTCGAGAGCCCGGGGCGCCCGCCTCCGCCTCCGCCTCCTCCGCCGGCCCGCGGGCGCCCGGGCCTGGAGTTTGGCGGCGGCTCGTGGGGGGGGGGCGGGGGAGCGCCTCGGCCGGCCGGCTGGGCTGATCGGTGGCGCTTCCCAAATTCTTTGTGTCCCCACCCCCGGCGCCGGGGAAGCCGCGGCCGGCGCTGCGCCCCTCGCTCTCCTCTCCCCGCCCACTCCCCCCGTGCGCCCCCCGGGGGTGCGGGCGGCCGCCCTCCTCTCCGCCCCGACAAAGGAGCGGCGCGCGCGGGCTGGGGCCCGGGGAAGCCGCCCCTCCTCCCCGCCTCCCCCTCCCGAGGGGTCTGACAGGGACCCTCTGTGCGCCCAGAGGCCCAGGTCAGAGCGGGGTTCACGGCCGTGATGATAAGTTGAGAGCCTGCGGTCTGCACCTTCGGCGTGCGGCTGCGGCTGCAGGACGTGGGGCGGACGGTGGGCTGCAGCTGGATGCTCATGCCATGTGCATTTCAGTGCGTCCCTGGGCTTCCAGCTCCCGAGGAAGAAGATGGATGGATGAAAGGCGGTGTTCTTCACTCACTGCTCCTTTCTCTGAGGTTTCTTCACCTGTTTGGGGTGGGTTGGTTGTCACCTTTCTTCCCCCCGCCCCCAAAACTAAAAATTGACACCCCCCCCCCCCCAAAGCAAACCTAAACATTGAATTACTGTAAAGGATTCTTGTATTTGTAGGACTTCTTTGTGGAATTATACCAAGGTATAAGATGCTAGACATGTTTGGTGTCTATGGGTCATGGGGTTCCAATAAAAGAAACATTGACAATGCATTTTTTTTTTTTTTGACAATTGTATTTCTGTGGGCCTGGATCTTTTTAGTTTGCTGAGGTTTCTTAAAATATTTTTTGGACCTCCCAAACAGGTCCTTTCTGAACCGCCTGAGCTTCCATCGTGCTTCTCTGTTTTGACCCGTGGTCTATTTAAACCTAACATTTCTTTGATTTAAGCTTTGTGCTTACATTTTTTCTTTCTTTGACGTTTTAAAGATGTATTTTATATTTTCCTTAAGAGGCAGAATCGTAAATGCTAAAGGACTCAGGCTCTAGTGTTAAACTATGACGTGAGATCCCTCCTGTTTTCTATCTTGCCAGCTTCGCCAAATTGTTTAAGCTATCTTAAGTTCTAGTTTCCTCCTCTGGAAAAATGGGTATGATAACAGAACCCAGATCGGAGAATTGTTGTGACAATTAAATGGCAAAATGTGTGTAAAGTGTTTAGCATAGTGCATGGCTTATACTAGCTATCACTGAACACTTAACAATGATTAGCATATCCTAGAGAGTTGTGATTGATTTAATACTCAATTAGTATTTTATTTGTAAACAATTGGGTCTTGTTTCTGAAGGCAGTGCCATTTTAAAAAAGATATATTACTTAACACCATGCTTAGTATTAATTTATTTAATGAAACCAAAAGTTCATCTCTGAGAACATTGCACTGTTCAAGAATGTGCACATTAGGAATTTAGATATGAAACATATACAATGTTTGCTCTCCATTTATGGAGTTTGTCCTCAGATGGGACAGTACAACACACACACATACCCACATACACACACACTCAAGATTGGTTTTGCAAAACTTACACTAAATTCAAATTAACATAGCCTTATAAAGTTAGGCCCTTGTTGGTTCTATCCTCAGTGGATAGAACATCAGCCTGTGGACTATTAACTGTGTCCTTAGGCAAATTTTTAACTTCTTTGTGCCTAAGTTTCCTCATCTGTAAAATGGGAATGGTAATAAAATAAATTGTCTTAAAGGTATATTGGGGCCCGCGCTGGTTTGGCTCAGTGGATAGAGCGTCAGCCTGGGGACTGAAGGGTCCTGGGTTCGATTCTGGTCAAGGGCACATGCCCAGGTTGTGGGCTAGATCCCCAGAAGGGCTAGTGCAGGAGGCAGCCTATTAATGATTCTCTCATCATTGATGTTTCTATCTCTCCCTCTCTCTTCCTCTCTGAAAACAATTTAAAAAAAAGTCAGGGGGAAGAATAGGTTTGAGGGTAGAAATGAGGTGAAATGGATATCATGATTCAGTGTTGGACATGCTCATTTGAGGTGCTTATGAAGCATTCAGAGGGAAAAGTCTACTAGGTTGTTCGTACAGGTTTCAGGTGCAGAAGAGAGATTGGAATGAAGATCTAGATTTGGAAGCCATCAGTAAGTTGATTGTAATTGAGGCAGAGGAGATGAAAGCCCAGGAGAAATGTGCAGTCTTAATTTGGAGGGAAAGCCAAGGACAGAACTGCTGTAGATGAAGTATTATCTGCTTATCGTGAGTGAAAGGCACTTTCTTCCTTGTTGCCAAATATGACTGAATAAATACTTCTGAATAAATTCTTGTTCTGCTTCTTAGTTTCCTACTACAGGAAGTATAATAGCACAAACTCTGGAAGCAAACTGCCTTAGTCTGCCATATTAGCACTGCCCTTCGTTGAGTAAACTTGGGCATGTTACTTTATTCACTTCATTATCCCTATCTATAAAATGGGATTATAGTAGGACTTACAGGTTTGTTGTAAAGATAAAATAAATCAATACATGTAAAGTGCTTAGAACAGTGATTTTTACTAGTGCCCAGTATCAACAATTTTTTTGTTATTACAGTATTTATAATATGGCTAGGACCTTTACTTGGTAGTGATAATCTCCTTCTGTGGTGTGCATATGTGAAATCTGTTGCTCTGAAAAACTTGTTACTATTTGAAATGTTATCTTTCTTTTTAAAAAAGCTTTATAATTATTAGAAACCTTTACTTAAAAAAGAATTACGCTGATTTATTTTCTGGCTTAGTTATTCCTGATCCTTTTGCTGTTATTTAATGCTGTTATTTTTTGAAGCTGTGATTTTCAAGCTCTTTATTCTGTATCATTGATTGTTCTGCTTACCTCAGCCCATCATAGAAAAGCAGCATGTTCATTTTGTCAATATCTTGTCTCCCTACTTTTTAAGGACAAGGCACATGCGTGTTAAGGTTTATACTCACCCCCAACATATAATATGTATATATTTTTTTGAATGTTGACTGTAAATTAATGATCTAGGATTTTGTTTGGATTATTTTGTCCTGTTACTTGCTTGATATTCAGCAGTAATGATGAGCATTTGTATATTCTTAAAATACATTTTACTACATTTTCATCTTCATAACCCAGAGAGGCAGAAGAACATAGTAAAAAAAAAAAATCCAGGGCACATTATACAGGTTGAAATTTTGCTTTTATCACAATAAGTATGTGACTCTGGACATTTGATCTAACTTTTCTGTTTTCATTTATTCATCAGTGAAGCAGGGATAAATCACCTCCATAGAATTAATGAAAGGATTAAGTGAGTTAATACATGTAAAAAATTTAGAACTGTGCCTAAAACATAAGAACCATTAAAAAAAAAAGCTGCTGCTATTCTTATTTCTATATTATTTTTTGTTATTATTGTGTCCATAATCTAGATAAGGAATTGAGGCCTACTGGGCATGGGATTATTTGCTTAAATTGGAACTCAAATCCTAGTCCTCTGATTTCTGGTCTTAAGGTCTTATACTTAAAATAAATTAAAATTTTTTTTTATTGGTTTGAGAGAGAGAAACATCGACTCGTTATTTTACCCATTTATACATTCATTGGTTGTGTCCTGTATGTGCTCTTACTTGGGATTGAACCTGCAACCTATTGGAAGGCAGCTCTAACCAACTGAGCTACCTGATCAGGGCAGGTCTTAACACTTTTTATTCAACTGTATTTTCTTTCTGCAAAATATTTTCTGGAGTAGTTCCAGATTTTCTAAGAGTGCTACTGTTAGCATCTCAAAAGTTATCCTTGCCTTTTTAGTCTTGCCTTTGTTAACTTAATATCACTTTGCTGCTAAAGAAGCAGAATATAATGAAAGGCTTTCATCAGAACTTTATTTCTGATGAAAATTTTACATGAGTAGAGTTTCCTAGATATAGGCTTATTTATAACCCCAATTGTTTTTAGTCCTGAACTTGTTCATAACTCTGGTTGCGTAGGCCCAATTTTTCGATCTGCTGTGTTCATTTCATTATCTCACTCCTGATCTAAGTAAATCCTTTCCAATTACTATCAACTACTTTAATTCTGCCTCTTTTGTCACTTTTGACATATATAATACTTCATGGAGCTTTTGTTATATTCATATCACTAACTCTTAATGCTAAGTATCTTATAACCTATGAAATTCGTGCATAGAAGGGGGGTTCCCCGTAACCCAGCCTGCACCCTCTACAACTGGACATCCCTCTCACAATCTGGTATCCTGTTTCCCTGAAAATAAGGCAGTGTCTTATATTAATTTTTGCTCCCAAAGATGCGCTAGGTCTTATTTTCAGGGGTTGTTTTATTTTTCCATGAAGAAGAATACGGTACACATTTATTGTTAAATGAAAATAAAGGAAATTTATTACCTGTATATGGTACGGTAGTACTGTAGTTGTCAATACAAACCAGACAAACTGTGAATCCTACAGTATCAAGAATTTATTCATTTATTCAGTGACAATCATGTCATCATCTTCTGGAACATCATCATAACAATCCAATACCTGAATATCCTGGTGAATTTCTTGTGACTCCATTTCTTTAAGAATCAGTGGACCAAATCTCTCATGTTTAGTCTAGGGGGGGGGCTTATTTTTGGGGGGATGCCTTATATTTCACTCAGAAGGATATCTGTAAGTAAGTCTTATTTTTGGAGGATGTCTTATTTTCGGGGAAACACGGTACCACTGGCTCCT